AAGAGGTGTGTTGGAATAAACATACTGCTCAATGAAATGAATACGCTACTCTCTATATAACATTTGGTGTTGGAATACACAATTCAAGAAACTGACACCTAGAAGTTAGATGCAGGAATTCTCACAGTAAACCTCAACACATTAATTTTATAGATGCTACTCGTGTAATCAGCACAGAAACAATAATTTAGGAATTTCATATCTATATAGTTTCAGATATTTTCTTTTTATCCTACAATGAAAACTGAGGCACATAAATTGTTTCAAAAGATGTCTTCACTATCTCAGGGCACAATATTTTTCACTGTTTAAACCACATCAACAAATTTTGTTAAATTATATAAATGGGATAGTTAGCACCCATAACAGTGAAAAGGACAGACATTTCCACAAATATTTGGAGAGTCCTACTGCTAGAAAAGAAGTGGTTGCCGTTTATGATTCCTTGATAAGGAGGCAGCATATTAAATTGACTTTTATCTCATGGTTCATGTGCGACATTGAGTGCAACAAAGCAAAGTTATTAGAATTTCTGTTCAGGACATCATTCAGTGATGCATCTCTTTTAAATGCATTTTCTAAACAGTTCTACAAGTCTAATTTACAACACTGTCACCATATGGAATGCATATTTCACAATAAAAATGAAAATACTTTAAAAATTCAATTCCTTTAACAACAGATTGCTGCTTTAATACCACCAAGAGGGCATTGTAATAGTACAGACACTAAAAGAAATCATAACGTTTTAAGAGCACTTTCTCCAGACACAGATGCAAAATACCATTATTTGAGACATTCTCCCACTTCAAATCAAACAGGAAGCAACGACATACAAGCTAAACCAAACATCTCTTTAGTGTGTTAAGAAGAAATAATCAGCTCAATTTTAATAACACCACCGTTAAAAACTGTAATTGCACAATTATAAGTGAATATCTCCCACCTCCAAAGAGTGGGCTGTAACAAAACCTGTATGCAGACACAGAAGACATTGCTGAGCTGGTTCAGTTCCAGCTCTGAAGTGGTCACATCCAGTCGAGCAGTATCTCCACATTTGTCAGTTTACACTTTGCTTGAAATCAACTTTCAACAAGATGAGAGCACAAAGACATCCATCAGTGTCTCAACCATGGGCTGAACTTACTGATCTTGGTAGCGTAGCTAACTCCTGCAAAAGTGATCTACTCACACACCAGCGTGCTGATGAAATTTATGACTAGTCAAATAACTACAGTACTAAAAATCCTCCTGTTGGTTCTACCTTACGTAACACAGACTGGCAGCAATGGTAACAGGCAGCACTTTTCACTGCAGTGACTTTTTTTTTTGTTACAAGAAAGTTCATGACACAGAGTGTGAACTACATCACAGAAAGGATTATAGCTCTTCAGACAGATAAAACATTGTGCAGTCTGAAAGAGTTTTTGGACATTTTATTTCACTACTTTTTCTGATATGCAAGGAAAAGATCACTATTAAATGACACCTTCCATGGCATAGTACAATTTGAACACATTAAAATAAATCAAGACTAACCAAAAGGCAGTAAGTTCAAGAATTCCAAGAATCAAATCAGATACATTGCTATTTATTTCAAGAGAAATTTAAGAAAGAATGAATAGCACTCTGATAGCCTGTAAACTGCACAAGCAATGTACAATCCTCAAGTTTTTACTCCTTAAAACGTTATGTAGAATTACCTTAACAGAAGTTCTTTGGGTAGTTTTTTGTTAATAAGGGCTTCATCATTATTTGAGAAAACCTAGAAACAGAAAGAAAAATAACAATTTAAAAATACAACAAGAAAACAGCTTTTAGAGAGTCCTTTCACCGTCTATTTAGGTGCTTAATTTTTTTAAATTGCTGTTTATGTCAAGTTTTCAACATGTTACTTGGTCATACTGTATAATAAAATTATTCCAATATACACAACAGGGCAACATCCATGCATACAACTGTTCTTCCCCAGTGCTAAGATTTAACTGCGCAAAAATTGCGGAGCAACTTAGTAATCATTAAACAAGTCATCAGAAGCCACACTTGCACCCCATAAAGAAGTATTTTAGGCAGTAGTGAAACTTCTACCAATAGAAACACACACTAGTTGCTCAGTCCTAAAACTGTCCCATTACAGAAAACAAAGTGAACACTTTGCAATTATTCAGGACCCTTTCTTCACTGTCTACAGTGTAAATACTTTGGCCCAGGTATGTGAATATGGATAAAAATATAATGACCTAAAGATTTAAAGAATTTACTGCCATAAATATGACAACTGCTATATAAGCAAGGGAAGCACCAAGAAATGCTACAAGAAAAAACTGAAAATACCTTTCACCCAGAACTTCATATTACTAACATATCTCCTAAGAAAAAGAATGTGGCGAGACTGAAAGAAAATGCCCAAGGGAAAAAGCAGGCAATGCTAAGTAGGAAAACTGTTCTGCAAAAGAAGAAAAGGATCAGCCAACAGTTAAATAGAAAAACTGAACACAGGAGATACTGACCAGACTTGCAACTTATTGTTAATATTTAGGTTTGAGAAGTTTTGCCAGAGAACACAGCAATAAACAAACCAGAGGGTGAATTTAAGGAACAGAGAAAATTTAAGGAACCATGGCATAGACTGGAGGAAGTCAAAGTCACAAACAATCACTTTCCCTGTAAAGAGAAGACATTTATGGAGTCCATTTGTGGTCCACATTAATGGGAACAAAAGATAGAAATAGGGATCCAAAATAGTCAAGAGTTTTCTGAATGATAAAAGGTAAATACAAAACCCACACAAAACAGAAACATGAAAAACAACTTGAAGAAATCTTTTCCCAGTCCTTCACTAAGAATATGCTGTTCCTGCCTTAAGCATCGTGGACACCTTTTCCACCCTACCACCAACACAGATCACAGACTTGGTAGGTAACTATTTGGTTCGCTTCCTGGTTAAAAAAAGGAAGCTCAACAAGAGGTGGTTCTGAAAAAAGGAACATCAAACCAAGAATGAAAAGAACCTGAATATAAGCTTAGCTCTGTCTTCTTAAAAAAAGGAAGACGGCAGAAAGCACACATCTGGGAATTCTGAAAATATCTCCCTAAAAAGTACTGTAATATTAGAAAACTTGAATTTCCTCTGGCTGCTATCAAGAACCCTTTTTTCCTCTTCCAGTACATCCTAGGCTGATTTCAGGTCTAACCGTGTATTACTGTTTCTCAATTCTGACACAACAGCAAAAGCCACTTTCTTCACCCACTACCTCTGTGCACAGTTATCGCCACATCTAAGAACAATAAAACTGTCAACTTTCAATAGGACCAACAAGTTTAATCAAGCTTCCTTCTTCTGGGTATGCTCAATTATACACGGACTGGTGACTGTAGAGACCTTCAAAGCATAAAACATGTATTTCAACAGGACAATTCCAGATCCTTCAAGAGAGACATTCTCGGCTTTAAGCAGCTCCCCATGGCTGACCACAAGTCCAGGTTTGCTCTGGTTCTGCTTCACATCTGCTTTACAGCCTTTAGGCTGAAATAGACTATGTACATCAACAGTGGGTTTAGAGCTGGTTGGCTGCTGCTGAGCTTGGCAATTCATAGATGTACAAATTATCTGCACATATGTCACTTTAATATTACATGCTACTCATGGTTTGCAGCTTATAGCCTAAAAACAATAGTATATATTTGGATAATTTTTAGAAGAACAGTTAAAACATAGGCCTAATTGTGTGTATTACAGAACTCATTCAGAAAAAGGAGAGGCGTATGCCGTCCTCACGAAACTTAAGATCGCTAAAGAGTGAAGTGGGGAAATATTCTTGTGTATTACAGGTTAAAAAAAAATAACTCACAAAAAAGGAAGTTACCCCTGTGAGAGCACACAGGGTCTATGGTAAAACATAAAAGTGAACTTAGATCTCATCAATTCCAATTCTGGTCCAGAATTTGAACATTCAGTATCACAGACCACTAAAAACCTCTTTTAACTTGTTTATTCTATAGTTGCAGATAATTCCTCAAAAGTTACATCAGCTAGCATGCACTTCCAACTTATGTGCATAAGTATGTATTTTTAAACTAAGCTACTTTACAGACTGCTACTACTTAACATGTGTGCCATCGCTTTGCCAGTACAAAAGCTGCTGTTATCTGTTTTTTCTCTTTACACTGTAGATTCTCAGATCTACGGCAACAGGGATATATGCTCGCTGTGTGAAGGTGACACAGCATTTAAGTTAGTAACGTATAAGCAAGTTACTATTTAACAGAAACAGCGACAACGCATGCTCAAGATGTTTGAGTATTTCCAACTACTCAACTCCCGCATTAAAAAGACGAATCACAGCACAGATTTTTGGGAATAGTATTTTTCTACTGAGGCCAAGCTGAAAATCTAAACCTACAACCAAACTGGCAACTCTTGTGGGAAAAAGGCTTATAATCTCTGTATGTTTATGGGAGATTATCTTTAGACTTTAACGTGAAAGTTGGACAAACTATTTTGAATACATGACAGCAGATATGACCAATATGGTTGTATTTAGTAATCCCAGTTAAAACTGAAAAAAATGTAGCTTTTACTACTGAATACAAGAAGCACGCGACTTGCACAGCCACACAAAGTACCATCTGCTACACACGTCACAAATGAGGCCAAACAGATCTGAAACTGTTTTCCCTCAAACGCTAAGTTTTATGTGTATGCATTAGCTATAGTTATCATATCATAAAGTATTATTCTTACAGAATAAGAATATTTAAAAAATGAAAGTGTCTCTTTAAAGCACACTTCTACTCTGGAAAAAGTGTACAAGCCTTTAGAGTCATACTGCATTTGCATCTCAGAAGAAGAGAGGGACTTCTTTAAAGGCTCTTCAATACTAGTTTGCCCTCAAATGAAGAATAGCCATGGGATAACCAAGGTAGTCATCTTCTAGACGAACATCTGTAATGTGATTTTGAATGCGTGCAAGCAGAGAGAAAAGGCAGAAGGTGCAAACAGGATAATACATTTTATTTGTTGAACTTCTCCTGATAGTCTAAAACTTTCATTAATGAAATAAATACCCTGAGTACATTTATGTATCACCTCTCAGAAGCTGACAACCTTTTTATTTTTACTTTATTTTTATCACATAACTTCTAGCTTTCTATTTATAAAAAACACCACCAAAACCAATCAAAGAAGCATTCAGTTGCAGCAAAAAAATATTCTAATTGTGTCAAATGTGATTTATTTTTCTCCAGTTACAGAAAGTGTAGACAATGACATGCCCTCAAAATATCTGTATACAATAACACAAAGTAACAATTAAGAATACCGTGGATGTAGAAAGAATATTTCTTTTCTTTGCTTTTGCATTTGGTAGCAAGTTTGACTGTGTTAATGACTGTGAATCTCAAACTCTAGGCAAGTGTGGTTTTAACTGTATAAAAACCTGAAATACAACAGACAAATCTGTGCACAAGTAAAAAGGATCAGTGAGATTGAACATATGTAATAAATGTTACTCTAAAAACAGCTCTAAATTTCCTGTAAACACAAGATATACAGAAAGTCTCCACATTCTTAAACGAACTGCGAGAACAAACCAACCAAAACACGAGAGAAAACTGTTAATTGCTTATTACTTGAATCTTGAGCCATTTATTACATTCTTTAACTGACTTCTCTTGGTGGTATCTTCACTCTAATTTTGAAAAACTGGTTATAATAAGCTAAAAAGGGAGCATTTCCTTAAAAAATGACCTGATAACTTGCTTACACTAAGTTTCTTCAGCAGCTACATTTCATTTTTTATCTCTTTATTGTATAAAGAGCGTATTGTGTAAATCTGTCAAATCCAAAGAGAATAATCTTCCCATTTTGCTCCCCTTCCATATTATTAAACATACTAACTGATACTAGTCTTAGAACATAACTTCTTGGTACACCACAGCTAGTTTGCCACCATTAAAAGCACCACATATTATTCTCTTCTAGTGTAACAGCTAGTGATAAAGGTCTCCTGGTTTCACCAGAATTACTGAGTTGAAGAAATCTTTTCTGATGGAGTTGTGCATTTGTGGTTTTGTAGCCAGTCTGGTGAAGATGTTATATGCTCAAAAAGGTTATTTTTTCTCTACAAAGAAACAAGGGAATATTCATCCTTGTTTATTATGCGTATCTAAAACGTTTAGAAATTCCCTTCAACTAGTATTTCAAGACCAAAATAAGGTTATACTACCAATTTTGTTGATAGTCCTTAGGTTTTTTTAGCGATGCAATTTCCATTGTCATTCAGTCCTCTACCAAAGAAGACTATTTTCTTTACATATGAATGAAACAGTTTTGTTAGCAGCTCAGCCATCATGGCTCAGTTCCACAGAGATATTTATGTATCTCATTTCCACTGAAATCAGAGTAGATAAGGACTTTCAACCTGTCAACTTTTCAAATCAAGTGTTATTAAAAAACCAGACTCTCAAAAAATAGCCTTGCTTAGTATTGTGCTAGAGCAAGTAACTATGGGTAAATGTAGATTTGAGAAAGAGGGAAGATGAAGTCTGAGAGACCCCAAAGAACATCATCAAAAAGAGAAGATGTATATACTGAAAACAAGGCTGAATTATTTATCAAGCCAGGAATAAAACACGACATTAGGTCGTTGTCACCAAAGGAGACAGTAGTTTAGAATTAAATCCATACATTTCCCTTCTCCTATGGCTGACACAGCAAACGTCCTAGTTAAATTGTAAATATTGCCATACGTAAAAAGCATCAAG